ACCGAGGTAAATCTTGCGTTGCCTCGTTTCCATCAGCTTCATTGTCTGTGTGGATTTAGCACCACGGGTTGTCATTTTTCCTCTTATAAAGAATTTAAAAATGAAGAGTTTAGATTACAGCATCGCTATGTCTAATATTTTACGGCCCTGGGGGACTGGCAATATCTAACCACGAAGAGATGGGTGCCTTTGCCTGTCTAGCTGCAGTCTGAAATACTGCTTCACTTACATTTGTTGTAATGCTGTAAATACAGAAGCTCCTAAGCTTCTACTGCACTTTTATTATCCTTGGTGACAAGAGTAAAAATACTGCCTCTAACATCACCAATTACTTCTGAGGAGAGAATCCAAATGCTTAGCTGTGAGAACTGAATAGTATTTTTCTAATTTGATAAGTAGGTGCTGCTAGCACGCCTACAGATCACATCCGCATCAAGAGGTCTGATGATTCTCAAACACAGCTGATCTTTCAGAACTCAGCTTAATTGCCATCAGGCTCTGATCAGACTCATCATTTCAAAGCAAGTTGTATTACATGCATAATTTATGCATTCGATTTCAATAGATCATTTTCTGCCCAGTTCTGAGAGGGCAAAAAGTGTTTTTCCATGGGGAAGCTGCTAAAATCTTCTGGAGAACCAAACTGACTTTCATAGAACCACAGACTGGTTTGGGTTGGGAGGGACCTTACAGCCCACCCAGTGCCACCCCCTGCCCCGGGCAGGGCCACCTTCCCCCAGCCCAGGTTGCCCAAAGCCCCGTCCAACCTGGCCTTGAGCCCTTCCAGGGAGGGGGCACCACAGCTGCTCTGGGCAGCCTGTGCCAGGGCCTCACCACCCTAAAGAATAATTCTTTAAAAATACTGTTTCTGAAGAGACACTACATTTTTAAGTAAATGATGGACTGTTTGAAGTCTCCCACATTTATTTGGACAGCTACTGCAAATTTTCTCTATGCCTATTTACCACAATCTATTTAGTTTGAGCTGAGTGAGCTGAGAGTTATTGCTGGAAGTAGTTAAAAGAGATAAACTGAAATAGTGCATGTTGCCATAAATGAATTTATGTCCAACATAAGAATCTGGAATACTGGTATTGTGTCTGTATTGGAACTCAGTTTGGAGGAGGACTTCATGTTTCTACCACAGTTTCTCCAGGCAAATGCCACCGAAGGCAACATTAAAGTCACTAGTCCAAATTCTTAGCTGGTGTAAATTTCTATTAATTTCTGTTACACCACAAAAAAACCTTACGTTTGCTGGCAGCTTGAACAACTAGGCTTCAGTTTTATGACCATAGCAGAGTTTCTCCAAAGTTACATAGGAGTAACCGAGTTGTTCGAGGCATCTGCCTGTTACAGACACCACCACTCCTGCAGCACAAGAGCCTTTAAAGGGTTAATTCATGATAAAATATTTTAAGTACTATATATGAACACTCTGAAGGCCTGCTGAGATACTTGAATTTAATACACTACATAAAGCACTTCAAGAAATAATTATTTTTTCATATATTTCCACAGTGGTCTAAGTACATTTTGCTAGATGTGATTCACAAATTTTTTTATGTCTCCTCCCAGTTTTTTTCCTTCAACTTCTTCCTGCTTGATTAGGTCCCATCTCCCTTTAACTTTACTATTTGTTTGATTACCCCTCTAGAAAAAGAAACCCAACAAAATCTCATCTAGTAAGGTACAAGTCTACAAAACACATGCAAAAATAACAGAGAACAAAGCACGTGATTTCTGCTTATGCAGCTTACACAGAAAACACTTTGAATTCTGCAGGTTAACCCAGGAGGCAGATGAAGTACCTCCAACATTAGCAAATGCAACCATAATGCAAACAGGCACGAGGAATTAAGTAAATAAAGCTGAGCCATTCTGCACCATACCAGTGTTAGGGCTGGGAATTCGGTAGGGTTTTAAGGGAAAAAAAACCAACACTATGAACAATCCCTACATCAAAGCAGCATATAGTAACAGGTAAGTCACTAAGAATAAAGCTGTGTGGTGTTTGGGACAATCCCTGTAAGTGACTGGGTTAAGCTGAGCCATTGAAGTTGGCAAAAACCATTCATTAAATTTTTTTTTCAATCACTCAAGTTGGGAAGCAACCAGCAAGTTCAGCTCTGGGAGCTGAAGGGGCGCTAATCCCGACGGCCAGGGCAGGTGGCACGCCCTGCAACAAGCTGGAGGGAAGCACGGCTGCTGACTTCTCTAGCCAGCACAGAAGGAACAAGAGGAGATGTATGTGGTCTAACATATTCTAAAACCGCTTCACACCAAGCTGACAATGCAAAGGGTGTTTGCATAAATGAAGTTCATCAGCTTTTCCCTGACACCAGCCCACGCCTCCATCTAGAACTCCCTCTTCTCACACCCCCAGCCCTGCTTTTCATTTCTGTCGTCACAGACTTGATTTTCCCTTTCATGGATTTTTGCTTGAAAAAGCATCACTGCCTCAATTGTCTATTTTCAGCCTATATTTAAGAAAACCCTTTGGTTCCATTTGTAGCCACATCCTGTCTCAGCCTCCCCCTCTTTTTGTTCCTAAATATAAGGCTGATGCAATTTGATGTGACATGACAAAATAGCACATTTGCATCGGCAGAAACTTTCTCTCAACAGCAGTAATTAAAGGGAGTAGATGAGACATTGCTGAAATTGGTGTTTATTTAGCCTGGAAATAAAAGGCTTGAAGAGGACTTGAGAGAGATGTTCAAGTGTGTCACGAACATGAAATTCATCGATGAGTGCCTTCTTTTACATGGCTCCTTACTGCAAAAGCAAATGGTCTTTCAAACAGCGTAATCATTTTAAAGAGATTAAAAGAAAATAAACCAGAGATTTCCACAGACCATATCCCTAACCAGTGAAAATCACTGAATGTGTGTCTTTGGGTTATAAATAGTACCAAGACACTTGTGGTAACATGTAAGACAAGGTCACAATCTTCAACTTCAGAGCACAGGCTCTCTCAAATTGAGTAGAAGAGAACTGAGATCTCATTGACTCAGTGAAAAATAGGTGCTTAAATATCTTAATTTTTGAGCAGCATCAGCAGCAGGTAAGTACTCGCCTTCCACAACACAGATCTTTGTTAAGTGGCAGAGAGAGGAATTCAGAAATGGCTCTGAATGCTCTGACTTCAGCAGGATTCAGACGGCAGATTAAAACACACACCTGTCTCCAAAACTAATGAAATAATTTACAGTGATTGGTTTTGCGGAATGGACCCACTGCAAATACATGACAGGGTCGGGTGCTGTCAGCTCCCTGCGCTGCGTTCCATTTCGATGGCGGCAACGCAAGGCAGTGGTGGGAGGGTGAGCAATGCTTGGAAGCCGAGGGGCTTATCTTGATTTTTTTAGAAACTACGTTTAGCTTACTTAATCCATGTGAAGAATCCACAGAAAGGTCTGATGGGCGTTCCACAGGCCACAGGATTTAGCAGACATAACATGCTTTCAAGGGAAACTTCCTGCTCTCAGGAGGATCTTCCTCCTCTTCTCGCTCACATGAGCCTATTCTTTTAAATCCATCTGTGACTGGCACTACCACTCTGCTTAAAACTGGCAGACCACATTTTGAGCAGGCTCATTTCCATCCCAACACAGATGGCATCCAGAATAGGGCAGGCCAGAAAAAAATCAGTTTGCATATTATGCCTCAGTTTTTATGGGTCAGATTACCATTCAAAGCCATCAAAATGGCAACCCATATGTGATGTGTCTACCATTGGAACTAAAGTGATACACCATCGTAATCTTAACGTGGCTAGTTAGAAAAAAATGTGATTAACCATTAATTATCCTCTGATACTTAAAAGTAAAAAGATATTTTCCTTTCCAACAGAATTTTGACTTTGACAATTCAAGAAAATAGCTTTGGTGAACCAAAAAGGAAAAGACATTATCACATCTTCATCCTGAATGACTGTATGGCGAGGCTCTCTTGGCAGAAGGCAGTTCAGCATCTATGCCAAATATTCACTTAATAAGTGAGCCAGGTGCAGATGTTGGCTGTGTAATTTGTTCTAACTTCTTTGTTCTACAAGCCAGAAAATTGTTCCCACAGCTTTGCAGAAAAAAAAAAAAAGGGAGTAAGAGCAGCTCTTCCCATGTTTTCCTTGGTGCAAGAATATAATCTGTTTTAAAGACACTCTCACAGAAATAAGAAGTGTGTCATTAGCGACGTGCATAACTTAATTATAGAATCAGCAGAGGGCCATGCGCTAAGGACACTAAAGGGATGCTGAAACAAGGTCAAAGCCATGGCATTCTGCTTCCTAGCCACATCCTGCCTCCCTGCAGCAGCCTACCAGATAGATTTGCTGGATTTCCACGCGCTATGGGGGGGATTATTCCAGATGCTCCAGAATCCCTGCTCCTGCATTTGCAGGGTTTTAAAGCAGGCAAGTCTGCTCCTGTGAGAAGTCTATTAAACAGTAAAAACATATTTCAAGTCTCCTGCTATGTTATCATGGCACCTGAAGCTCAACTGTTACTCTAAGTAGCTGCCAGGGCAGCCACCCTGTGTCATTACCAATTGGAAAATTTTTCATTCTGAAGTTTTATCACCCCCCCCAACTTCTGTACATGATATTCTGGTTAAGATCCTATACTGATACTTCAGGTGTTTGTTCTCAGCCACACACAGGACACACAGCAACAACAGATTCCCTCCACCATGTCGAGGCCACTAGTCTAGCAGTCCTGATGGAAATATGAAAATATTGCTTCCACTGGTATCTTTTCTGGCAATTTGCACTTAGTGTTCTACTACTGCATTTATCAGCATGGCTGGAATGGAGACGCAGGTGTTCCCGAATACAAAACGCTGTTTAGAAATATCTCCTGCAAACATGTACAGTCATATAACAAATCTGCACCAACTCCACTTCCACCACTTCTCTGCGATTTGTCATTTCCACCTTTCTTGCCTACACGAGGCACACAGGCTCCTAACGATTTCCATAAAACAAACAAAAAATCACTTACCGCACTCAGAGCAAAGGAACTTTAATTATCTTCACAGATTAGTTCTGTCAAAGTCCAACAGTAAGCAAGAGACCTGCAGAGAAGAATCAATTTTCATTATCTGTTTCTCCTCAACTTGCTACTGAAAGCACCATCAATAAGGAAGCGCAGAGAAGCCCATCCACAGCACCATTTATCAGTGCGTAAGCTTTCACTTTTGGCTAACTAGTTACACTAAACATGAATTCATGGCCTTGATATGAATAGGGTATTGCTTTCAGTTATCTACTCAGAAAACACTTTCTTAAATAAATGTACACTACAAAAAGATGTAAGTAGAGAGAAATTCCAAAGCACTCAGTGGAACTGAACCTTCAGTATTTCCCGTTGAGAGCTGCTGAAGGTAAGAAAGCATTTAACTACTTTAAAGAGCCATAGTTTCTAGTACTCAGAACTCTGCACAATGACGTAATAATTACACAGAGTTTTACATATGTGTCAGAGCAGAACATTGCTTTGGAAAAAGAATTTATCAGCATCAGGACAGCCTGGTAGCTCCTCAGTCCAATTTATTAGGCCTGGGTGGTGATTTGGCTTCGCGCTCCCGCTGCCGGAGCGCTGCCGTCTCACCTCGGAACACTCAGGTACGCTTCTGCAGGAAGCGGCGAAGCAAATACCTTCTTGTGCAGCACCCGGCCTGAGCACCGACCTCCACTTTCAAAAATCACCCCCAAGAAGGCTGCAGAAAACCAGGAATTCCTTCCCTGAGAGTTATTATTTTAACTGAAAACAGTGCACAACCAAGGTAAAATATTTTCACATCTCTAACAGATAAACATCTGAGACTCTTCCCTTTTACAGTATTCTCTTCCACAAATTTTAACAGCGTGTCACACGTTGCTTCACAGTTACACCTTGGTGTGGTTTCTGGATGACTCATTTGGCCCCGAACAGGAGAACTCAGGCTTCTGTTTTCCACCTGTCTAATCTTTTGACTCTGCAGAAGCTTATCCCTCCCTTCCATTGTCGTGCCCTGACAAAAAACTGCTTTTGACCCATGAGACAATTGAGTCCATACAAGAAAATCCTGCTTTATCGAATACTTGATTGTACAGCGAGTAAAGGAAATCAACTTATTCTCTAAAGTCAACACTAATTCCTTCATTTAGAACTCGATCATAAGTTTGTTGAAGTCAAGAAAATGGATTGCTCTGACTATCCAAAGACATCTGGATCAGGTCTTAGATCATCTGGTACTTCACAGAAACTTTCAAAAACCACTTGAAACAGAAATCCTGGAAGATAACAATGACAGAAGAAACTGAACTGATCTAATATGCCTCCCTTTGAAAGATGCAAGCCTTTGAAAAATCTAAGGCAAAATTCAGAACTACATTCGCAAACGCAGGGATCAAAGATAACTGTCATCATGGCTGATTTTTTTTCCCCCCCCCAAGTATTAATAGTATCATGACTTGGCGACACATGATGGTTGACAACAGCTTGGGATGTTCCATTTTTGAAATCTAATTTAGGCAGTCATAACTGCCCTCTGAAGGCACATAATGACATTGGGAACATGGGTTCTAGGAAAAAAAAACCCAAAACCACACTGGTTCTGAGCATAGGAGATGCTTTGTTTGCAGGTACAGCCTACATCGCCTTTCTGGCAAGACATCTGAGGCAAAGCCTCTGTCATCCATTCACACAATTAACACTGCTGCCCAGATTCTCAATCCGCATCTTGAGCATCCAGTGCTCTTCTCTTTGGATTCAGTGTCATCCTACCATTGTTCATTTATGCTATAAAATGTTTTCCGAATCCATTACTCCATCTACGTTAGTCTTCGCATTCCCTCACCGCTTCTGCCTTTTATTACATAAGTTACTTTCATTTCCAAGTTCCCGATGGCATATTCTCCCCTTAGCTGTCTCTAACACCCAGACGTGGAATTTTGCCTCTAATTAACATATAATACTAACTTCCACCACTTACTTGTAAAATTTTTATTGTAGCAACTATCTCAAAACTCTCTCCCATGCTGTTCCCATGCTACAGAGGAGTGCTCTGCAAACATCCCCTTCCCTGTTCCACTTCAAACGCTTCCTTAAGCTTATTATTGTCACGATTAAAAAGACTAGATGTTTCCCTTTTGCTGGGATAATCATCTGAAACAGATTATGCTAACATAAAAACCACCTGGTAAGGTCACAGCAAGTTAGCTCTTGTCATATCAGGTGCACACAGGTAAACTACCCATATGAGGTGATGTAGAGCAAGGACCTGGAAGAACAGACTCAACTTTAACTAAAGCCCAGCCCTGAGTACACTGCAGCTCTCTAGCTTCGGTACAAGAACTGACCCAAAGCTGCCTTATAACATTATTTTTATCCATCAAACAATTCTTTTCTGAATAGCTGATAGGACCTCTGATGTCTACCTCAGATCAGTCCTGCAGAAAACATCTATTATTTAGCACTGTTAATTAACATTTTGGAGATAGACCTGCAGTTAGTTATCCCACTAGGACATTTATGATGCCCTTTCAGAAGTACATTGTCCTTTGCTGTTAACACGTAGCCAATATAATAGCTAAAGAGCAACGCAATCAACCTCTTCATAGGCTGAAATTTAAACTAGCAACTACTTCTAGAATTCACTTAAGAACACCAGGCACCTATGCTCAGCAGGCTTTCCAAATCTACTCAAAATACCCCCAGTTGCGCTTTGAGAACACGATAAAATAGGCTCAGTTGCTCTGTTTCATTGCTTAGTGATAGACATTGCTTAAGGTCCAACTGGAATTTCTACTTTGGAGCCTTTAAAAGAAAAGTTTGCCCACGTCAAGCTTGAGATTCCTTTATGCTGCCCAAAATGTACAAAGGAGCACTGATGTAAGAGTGAATGACATTCCTAACACGGTTACTAGCTGGTATAAGTTAAAGCCAATAATCTCCAACCTGCTGGGCTATTTTTACCAACTGACAGCCCAGCATCTTCTCTTGCTCTTAAAAGACAAAGCTGATCTGCACCCAATCACTTTTATGCATCGTACTGATGATAGTGTTTCTGGATGTTTGAACACTACCAGACAGCTGCAGTCTGGAACAAGGTTTGCATTGTACTGTTGATTTTTAGAATATAACCTTTTAAAAAAAAAATAAAAATCAAGTCAAGTTCCAGTGTGCCCCTAAAATTAGTTTGAGAAAACTTGGGCTTGCTTTCCATTTGTAAGCGCAGACATACTTCCCAACAAAACTTGGAGCTGATGCTCATTCCTGTCTGACTGAACAGAAGTACTGTGGTTCAATTTCTTAGTTCTCATAAACCAGACACGCTTGCTGTATTCAAAAGGGATAGAAAAATCCTGTAAGTAATGTCTTTACACTTTAATAAAAAGTAATTAAGTATAATTTACTCAATGTAAAAAGGTATAAATCTGCCATTTCTAACACAACAAAAATTATTTATCAGAAAGTTTAAAATAGAAAGGGATGGGTAGGAGAGAGGAGAAGGATTATCCACACAGCTCTATGGTGGTATAAAAATACAAAGTTCTGATCCAAAGGCCAATGAAGTCACTGAAAACTGGCAGAAGGAACAGTCCAGAAAGCTGAAACAAAACGAAATTCAGGTACCTTCATCTTTCTACCTTGGGATTCCTTGAAAATTCCAACTCTGCAGGTCCAGAACAACAAAATCAAAATAATTTTTTATATTTTGTTCAATTTTTTTACTTGTCTTGATGTAAGTTTGCTCCAGTGGGCAGATTAAAAACTGAAGCCCTACACACATTCTTTTCAAAAGGGCTGCCAATGCTTGTGCGCTGAACCGCATCTACCTGCAACACGTCTCTGCACATCACAACTCTACCTCCCGCTGTCGGAGCGGGACCAGAAGCAGCATCAATTGACATCCTCACTTTTTTCTTCCACGGTACACACCGGTCAGCTTTTACTGAGAGAAACCTTGCCATAATAATCCAACAAGACTTCTCCCTCATTTGTTTGCAACGAAAGAGTTAATATCCGTGACCCAAATATGGAGACCCATTTTAAACTTGCTGAAAATTGCTTTTTAATCCTAGCTCTCGAGGATTTCCTTTGAAACCATCTGCCATGCACGCTGGGTACTCTTTTCCTGTATATGCGTAGGATTACTATAATATGGATTCTTTTGTGTAACTTAATACATTTCAGCATATTAAAAAATTAGTTGAAATTTCCATTCTTTTCCGATTTCAGCTGTATCCCATGAAAATGGCTGTAAAAGTCAAAATCAGTGATAAACTCCTAGCAAAACCAACACCCATATTTATCTTATTTACACTGCAATTCTAATATATTTAGTCAGTCTAACGCCGAATAGGATTTAAGCAAATAGTTAGGAGTCATTTAACTAATATAACTTACGGACACGCTTAAAATTAAGCTCAAGCACTTTCCTGGATAGGAATGGATTTAAGCGTGTGCTCTCCCAACTAGACATAGTTTGAAGACTGGAAGACACAATTAACATCATGATAATTAGAGATCAGAAGAGATTTCAAAATATCATTTTAAATCTGTTGTTCGGCTTTTTCTATTTTCTTGCTACGAACCTTTATGCAGTTGTATTTGTATAGTGCAGATACTGAGAAGCAAGTCTCACTCATAAACTGAATCTTCAATTGGCACATGCAACCTTATATATTTTAGCAATCATCCAAAACATAAAGGAAAATCTATTGCTTCCTATCCCAATAATCACAGAGTGACTGAAACAGAAAACATTCAGCAAGATAGATTTATAATCAACTTATTGGATCAACCCATAAAGGAAAACGATCAAAATCCCAACACAATTGTTGAGCATTTTCAATGGGCAGTATTTTCAAAAATGGCGATTTGACTGCAAATGTTCTGAGAACAGAAAATAAGGGACGTTGTTCGCACAGGTTTAATCACGTCAGGTGACACCAACATTTCGGGGGACAGACGGGCCACAGCCCGTGAACTTCTTTGTTTCACAGAACCACACTTGAGAGCAGGATACCTGTGCAGGGGCTTCACGCTCGCAGCCCTCAGAGTCCTCCTTTGCATTATTCCGCTTCA